CAATAATACCTTAACTCACAAGGCGTTGCAGTCGAGTTTGACCCCATCACATTTTTTACAGCTGACGTGACACAAATGCAGGTTTCAGTTTTGGTTCATGTGAGCTTTTATGAGTTCAGAGCAGCTGCTTAGCTGTCATTTAAAGATAATCAGTGCAAACTATGAAACCAAATAAAGGTTATCATGAACTGGATCGAATGATGCAGTTTTAAAGAATTTACTTCAGTAGTTTGCCATAAACTGTATACTGATATGTCTGAAATGCGGGAAGGCACTCAGTGTACACAAAGCGCTTTATTAATCTGCATTAAGCTGACTGTAGTCTGTGTTGGTAGAAACTCTGAGAAGATAAGGTGGAAATATTAAAACAGTCGGTTAGATGCAGAAGAAAAAAAGAAAGAATGAGCAAGACAGCTGTAAAAAATAAGGCTGATAGGGGATCCAGCAGGGAGGTGGAGCTCTTTAAAGATGGAGCCTGGCATTTGGGCAGAGGCAACTTTTGCCAAACTTCTGCATCTAGACTGACAAGTTTACCATTGACGCTAGCTTAAAACTTATTTTACCTCTAGTTCTTTAAGCGCTTCTAAGTTTATTTTAATTTAGGTAATAAAAAAAAACATTCTGCATACTTTGACTCAACAAATCTGCACTTAAATTTGCACCAACACATCAAAACTGTTGGCATTCTTGTTCCCAAACAGCTCTTCCATGGACGTAACCATAGTCCTCACTTTGACTGTTTTGTAGGTAAACAAACCCACACCAAAACTAAAAGCAATAAAAAAAATACTGTTGTCAGATAGAGGTGTTTTAAAAGAAGTTGCTCTCTGATATAGGTCAACTTTGGTTACACATTTTACAGCTGCACAGCTTGTCCCCTCCTCCTGAATACACATTCAGAAGTGAAAGATTTTATTCCTTGAGTAAATGCATATCACTTGTCACCTGAAGTTTTAAACAAACATTTTGCACAATCAGTTAGTGTCCTGACTATAGGAGGACTCTCGCCTCTCAGCACTGCAAATTTTAGCTAAGTATGTATAAAACAGACTGCGTTATTGTCATTTTTGTGTTGCCTAAAGTGTATTTTTATTCAGATTGACTTAACTTCATCAGTTGTAAATGCGCATCTATTTGGGTGGGTGGTGAGGAAGGGACAAGTTTATAGGTGCGGTCGATGCCCCCTCCCTCTGTTGGCACCACTGACTGTATAAACCATTATTGTAGCAAATAAGTGCAGTTAAGTTAATTAATTGTTAGTTTTTAAAACCTAAAGTCAAACATTTGCTGTCTGCTGCAAGAAAAGTAAAAACAAAACAATAATAAAAAGATTATTTATCAGAGTGTGATGTTTGTTTCTTGTTTTATACAACCAGATTTCTGCCCCACCTCCAAATATTCTATTTACTGTCTTAAATGTCTACAAAAAACAAACAAACATGCAAACCCTCACAGAAAAAATAAATAAAAACGCAGCTATTCTTACAAGAAATACTTAAAATTGTGGATCAGCTTTGACTTGACGAACAGTTAACGTGACGAATCCTTCAAGTTCTAGTTCCTAAAAATGAAATTAACACAGTAGGTCTTCCTTCCTTTTTGTTGTTTTTGTTGTTGTTTTTCCCATTTATTTCTGTCTCATGAACTGGCTGAATCGACGTGAGCCACGCCCTCAGCAGGCATCTCACCAGGACACGTGTTCGGTACAGAACGCAACATTTTGTCAGGGGTGTTTTATTCAGGTGTGTAATGACGGATGCCTTTTTCTGATTTCACTTTATGTCAGTTTAGGAAGTTATTTGCCAGCGTTAAGTCTAAAAGGTGCAATTAAAGCGGATGTTAAAATACATTTAGGTGTGTATAAGGAAGTGATAATACTGGATCTAAATTGGAATGCAGCTCTTTCCACATTCCTTTTATTTGGTCGAGGAAACGCACTCGTTAAGCAACTATACGTAGGTGTGTGAAGGAAACGTGAGCGTGGACGTACCCGCAGGGCGTGGCGGCTCCAACGAACACTCGCGCCGTCGGGCGAACTCACTCCCCTCCTTATTATAGGCCTGCTTCTTTTCCTCCATGTTTTTTATGACTGACCTGTGGGGAAAAGTCCCAGCTCCCTTTATGTTTTCAAACAGCTTTTTTAGGCATCAACAGGATGCTTGAGGTTAGAGGTGGAGGGTTGGTGGGGGCAGCATGAAATAAAGACATTTTTATGCTCAAGCCTTTGGTCAAACTTTGAAAATAACGTTAGGTGCGGCGTCCTGCCATTTTGTGAGACATTACGTTGGCACGATGACACAGTTTGTAGCTGTCAATAATGAGAAGCTGTAGGAGAGGCAATAACAGGACAAACCCTCACCACACCAGGCTGGTGGAGTTTGCTTGGTTTATTTTCTTGATTACTCTAATTGTCGCGATCTCTGATGCTGTGAGATGAATATTTCAGACAAAACTAAAAAAAAAAAAAAAAAAACGGTTTAGTCGTTCTTGCAGACTTCAATGTGTTCCTGTGAGGACAGAAAAGGTTTGGCTTTGGCTAAAGAATATAAAAGTCAGAAAACCGTTTCCTCGGCCTTCGCTCTTGGTTTTGCATGTCACACACATCACTTTTACATAACACACAAAGGTGTGTGTTCTTCGGCTGTTTTTACTGGTCTGCCGTGGCCTCCTTCCTCTCAACGATTTCCTGCTCACGCTGTGCTTTGACTGGGACATTTTGCCCAATTTGTTTGAATAACCCAACTTCCTCCATGATGGAGCGAAGTTCTTTGTCTGCCTTTTTATAGGTCAGCAGCAGTGTGAAATCCTGCACTCCTTCCTTTTTGGAGCTGGGGTTTGTGCAGATGCCTCAATTATTGCCGGGTCTACTGTAACCCTGTCGGCGCCATCAGAGCGCCGTTGGACAGCGTCGTCATGCAGATGCTCCGGGGAGGGGGTGTCTCATCAGCACAGCTGTGGGAAAACCACTGCTTGGCGAACACAAGGGCCCTCAGACCGTCTGAAAAGCCTTGTTGTCCGTCTGGCTCTTTGTTGTTGCTGTTTGTGTTGTGATTGCCACGGTATCCATGGCGGTCTCATGAACAGAGGACCCTGTTTCAGATGGACTGCATCTCGTATCGGGATGGGGGGGGGGGGGCTTTCCTCGTAATGGCCCACATGCTGAGGAATTCTGCTGCTTCTATAAGCGTCTGGATGTCTGAAAGAGTTTTTATTCAGTGCCCTCGCTGCTGGTCTGCCAGCAGCAACAACAGTGCGTGCCTGCTGGTTGTATTGGGGGGTGGGGGGGAGGGGGGCGTGTCATGCAGTGTCACGGATTCTTCTGTCGCTCAGGACTCTTTTTGCTCTTCCGTGACAGTCACAACTGTCACAATATTGGTTGTAGGTGGAAATGCAGCCCCCTCGTTTTCTAAAGTGGAGTGAAAACTTCAAAAAATTTATCATCACTCCCACCAACAGGAACAGACAAAAACTCTAAAAAGATTACAATGACGTCACGGTGGTGCGGTGGTTGAAGCTGTCGCCTCGTAGACAGACGAAGCTACAAGTTTGCACGTTCTCCTCAACGGCGCCGGAATGTACTTCAGTGTCCTCTCATCAAGGGCTAATTTTAGGTCTACCATTGGGGGGATTATGGTCAAAAACCCTGCCTGTCATTTTCAGCAATTATACGTAAACGTACGTATATGACATCGTAAATTTTTTAATCAAGTCAAAGTTACCTAAAGACAACAAGAGAKTTGCATCTGTCCACTTAACCAGTTAATTTCTATTGTGTTTGAGCAAATGATGTCATTTTATTGGGGCGCGGGGGGTGGGGGTATATTGACTGGATCAAATTATTGTGGGGGTCATAACCCCCCTAACCCCCCTGCAAATTACACCTATGCCTCTCACAGACCAAAACCCTAACTTTGGTGTGGTTTGATGGCTCAATAGGACACAAGAAAAACATATGTACACTTTTTGAAAGGTCTATGAACCATTGGATTAGGGTAAAATCGTATTGAGTTCAATTAATTGTCAGAAAATTTGCTACTTTGCAATGACTGCAAATAATGTCATGTGATGGTGTGTTTTTGTGTATCACTATCAGGGGCAAATGTGAGCCCAAAGGTGGAAGGCAGAGCAACTAATGCTAACCCTATGAACTTGTTTTATCACATGAAACATTGACAAAAAAAGCGGACTGTGAGGAAACCAGAAAAGACGAACCAGGGGCCACATTGTCGGCCATCATCGTTATCGACTAAATGTCACAATTAATCCTGATAAACGTTTTTGTATCACCCAATGTCAATGTCATTTTGTAGTTTTTGCAACCAGAGAAGATGCTGATTGGATTATTTAAACCAGACACAAAATTAAAAAAAAATCCTTTGTTTTCCTGTAACTTTTAAAACAAACATCAGTCTTTATGGTTTTTCAGAAGGCCACGCTGCTCAGTGTTTCCCTGCTCGTAGACTGATGATTACAGACATTAACCTGTGTGAAACAGGTCTTTAGATGCTTCGAAGTGTTTCGCTTTGAACAATGGCAGCAGACTGTTGCATACCTTTCTCCAGGAAGTACCTTTGTCTGTTAGGATCCTGAAGAGGCTGACAATGGACTTGGCTTTCCACAGTCTGAACAAAGTCCACCTCACTTTGGACGTACAGACTTCCACAATGCGCTCATTGACAAGTCTTTCTTTTTGTTAATGAAAAATAAAATTATTGCTATTTTTCAATAATATTTTTACACATTTGTGAAAATCTTGTTGTTAGGCTGGATATGATACAGAAATTTCAAAACGTCTTATATGTTTGTGCTCGTCATTCATTAAATCAAAGTCAGTTTGCAACAGATACTTTTTTTTTGCATGGGGGCGGGGAGGGTAAATTCTTTCTGCATTTCTTATGTAACCCTTCATCGTACAGCAGCTCTGACGTTCAGAAGCCGATGGGCCACATGAAGGCAGATGGCAGAGACGTAGCGGAGTCGAGGCCTTTTCTCTGATCTCTTTTACACATTTCATTCTTTCTGACAGTTTTTTTTCCTTTTATCTTGTTCTTGATTCGATCAACCAAACGTGCTTTTCATCCATCTCACATTTAGATCAAAACACTTAGCTCTCATTAACGAGTCTTAACGATCATGCCATGCGATTTGAAGTATTCTTTTTTCCCTAGTGTTATGACTTTCTGCCCTGACTCTTGTCTGTTTTTTTTCTTTTCAGATCATCACACAATGAACTGGAGAAACACAGGTAAGCTGGTGTTTGACTCTCTTTCGTGTGTGTCAAGCCGCAGAGAGCGTCTCTGAGCTGCTAACAGAGGAGCTGAATCCAACACTAAATGTCAAATATAATCCAGTGTACCAGAGGTTATCTTTGAGGAGCAACAGATTCATTCAGTTAATCCCTCTCGTCTGAAAACTGATAATAGGACGATTTCAACGAGCAGCTTGATGCCTGTTAGATCTCTCCTGCAGGAAGAGGGAATCCTGGCTAAAATGGAGTCAGAATAAAGCTGCAAACTTGAGTTTTGTTTTTTTTTCCAAACAGATGGCACGCACACGCTGTTCTTGCACCACACTCACAAACCGTTTTGCTTTTCTCTGCACTCACGACGTTATTTCTGAATTCGTTTTGGCTTCCACCAGGAGAACGAGAAGAGAGCAAACACCTTCCAGAAGTTAAAAATAAACACAATAAATCACAAGTAGTAAATGAATCATTCCCGAGCAGCCTTTTTTTGTGGGGCCGTGCAGCAGCTCATTTTGAAATTGCCTTCTCCTGTGGGTTCAGGAAACAGCTGATGTGACTTTCGGCATGTGAGCCGAGGCGTGTGCGTGTGTGTGTTTGGGCTCTGGCGTGTGACACACTGTCCCTCACACTGAAGGCTCTGGGTTTGCCCGTCACATGACTAGGAGTGAGTAACGGAGCGAAAACAAGCACGGACATATTCCTCCTCTCTGACCTAAGAGACGGAGGAGGCCCTGGATAATTACGCTGCAGGAGTTGAGACACGGCGCGTTGCCTCACGTGGAGTGATGGGTGTGGCTGGTTACTGGTGAACTGATGTCCAGTTAAACTGACAAAAGCAAGTGCCAGTAATCCGTTTACTCACTTCCCTTGTCATAACAATCGCACGCTTGAGTTCTCTTTTTACCGTCTGAAACCATGACGTATGAACTGTACATTGCAACGTTCTTTTCTGTTGAGTGATGATTGAAAGTTGCCTATCTTGTCAGGTCGTGGGGACCAAAGTCTGGTCCTAATATAGGTCTGGGTTGGGTTTTTAGGTGACAGAACTAAAGGAAGACAATAAAATGTCTTGATTTGGATAGAAATCAGAAATGTTTTGTTAGTGTACCCGTTTTTCTTTTTTTCTTTCTAGGACTTTTTTTTGGGTATAATCACCTACCTTGTCAGGATTAGTAGTCCTGAGGGGTACCAAAGCCTGGTCCTGATACACTGGATCATCATTTTTGGGTCAGGTTTAGTACTAGGGTTGGGCAATATTGGCAACAAAAAAAATCATGATTAATTGATGTATTTAGCCGATAATGATTAACTTGACAATTAATCACCTGGACACCCTTATGTCCTGGTCACATGACCAATTTAGTGGGAAAGATTTGCACTTCAAAAAAAATCTGTTCCAAATTGTGTCAAAATTACAGACTTCAGGCTATACATCAAAATTTAAATTGTGCCGATAGATAAATAAATTACATAACTTTTTTTAAATGTTCGTCATATTTGAAGTGGAGAGGAGCACCAAGCGGACTGACTGGTGCCATTAATCGTATTAATCGTCAAGAGCCCAGAAATAATCGATTAATGTTTTTCTGACGATTAATTACACACTATACGATTACGCCCAACCCTGTTTAGTACTACAGTGTGAATTGAGTAGGGGTAATGGTTAAGCATGTACTGGTAATTGTTAGGTGACAGAAAAGATTGGTAGTCTATATAATGTCTTTGTTGATATAAGTATAAACTGTGTGTACCTGTTTATTTTTTGTTATCTAGAACTTTTACTGGAATAATCACCTACGTTATTTAATCAGTAGTCCTTATGGGGACCAATGCCTGGTCCTGTAGGTTGGACCATCATTGATTGATAAAAATAAGGATGAAGGTGTGAATTGAGGGGGAGTTGGGGTTAGCATGATCTAATGGTCCTGTCACACTATGACATTTTAGACCACTTATGCCAACTTATGAAAAGTTTGGAGACATCAACATTGAAGATGGAACTAAAAAAATCAACTAGAAGCTTATTTTAGGCATGTGCATACCGTAATGCTAACAAATTGATCAAATATCTAACTTTATTAGTAATTTAGTGGAAAAAAAACATTTCATAAGTTGGCATTTGTTGTCTAAAAATGTCATAGTGTGACAGGGCCTTAACCCTAACCCCCCCTCGATGTAATGATTAGAATTAGTCAGAGTCTATGTATGTGTGGAAAGTTTCAGTCCATTCAAGGACCGATGAGGTGTCGTTGTGATTTTTTTTACATCACAGTGAGTCAACTCCCTGTCTGAACCTGCGGCCTCCAACTACGTCCTCCCATTTACACGTTTTCAAACTCCAACGTATGAATAAATACGTCTGTGCCGTGTATTTTCCCTGCTACCAAAGTGATAATTAAGATTAACAGCCAACAGAAAATGTACCTTGATTATCAAGATTTTAGCGCCACGATCAAGAGTTATAAATTATCTTTTATTACAGCTGAAGTTACATAAAGGCTGACTGTTGTTTGCGTTGCTGTTTAGTGCGCTGTTAAAACTTTTTACCAGCTGGAAAATGCGGAAAATGATTAGTCTGAAAAGACAACGTGTCTCTTTTTGCAGTTATGCAATTATAAAACTAGAAACCACAACAACCAGGCGTTCAAACAAACTCGTCACAATAAATTGAAGCCATTTTTAAAGAGGATTGTGCAGCACCAGCAACACCAGTCTAGCGTTTTTGTTTTTTCTTTTCAACATTGTCGTATTTTAAGCCCGTGTCCAGACAGGGAAGATGTTTGAAATACTCCTGATGCTTGTTCATAAGAAAACCAAAAGTGTTCACGTTGTCCTGTTCAACCAGTTCACAGCATCTATAGGAGCCACAGCCCTGTTTAATCTCCAGCAAACCCAGTATCGCCACTAAGATCGTTTACCTACGTCAGACGTTTGAGCCCTGACTCACTGTCTTTGTTTGGTCGAGAGTTCAACTTTAGTTTGGTTTTTTCTGGTTTCAGCCCAGAGACTGTGTTGTACTACAGTAAGTTCACGAGTCCAACAATGTGACTGATGAGCGTCTGGTGCAGGTGCTGGAGGGTACTGAATGTCCTGTTGGGGCTGGGTCTGAACGGACATGGAACAGATTTTCAGATCCATTTGTCAATTTAAATAAATAAAATAAAAACATTTCTGTAAATTTGTATTATATAAAACTTTTGGTAAAGTTCTAGAGCCTGTTCTGTTTTTTTTTTTAATCCATTTTGCATTTTTTAGTCAGACTTGGAAGAAAAAGTGTAACCTTTTGTTATTTTTACAAGATCTAGTTTGATCTGTCAGCTCTTGAAGTACGTGTTGAGGACGACTCTCAGCTATTACCACATCAAATTTCAGCTCAGGATTTGCTAATTTTCATTAGTTACAGCTATTTTTATACCGGCTACAATCAACTAGTTGGGGCGGCCATCTTGGATTGGGTTGTCTCCAACAGATAGTTGAGGTAGTTGTAGAAGTGCACCCACTTATTTATTTTATGAAGGTTTCATTAAAATCCATCCAGTTGTTTTTCAGGTATTTTGCTAAAGCTATAGATGAATAAACACACACACACACACACACATTACTGTCTACATCAAATGAAAATAATGCTTGCAGATACAGTCAGATACTGGATGTTTTTTCAGATGAAATGATCACCTTCAGTTCTTTATCTTCCACACGTGAGCGTCAGGCTCACTGGCTTGCTGTGATCCTGTAGGTGTGGGTCAGCGCCGCCTCGGCAGGCGTTCAGGAGGCGCCTTGCATATATTTGTGTCCTGTTATCAGAGCGAGCCGTCTGCCGGGTGGGTGCATCTGTCTCGACACGGCCTGCTTATCTGTGTCGCTGCGAAGGCTCTGTTCAGTCCACCTTCATGATGAGTCAGCTATTTTTTCTTTCCTTTTTTTTTTCATCTGAGCAGAAATCAGCACAGCATCATGCACCTCAATATATATATTTCTTTATTTTTTCTCTATTAAAAGCGATTGCCTGTGTGTGGTTGGCGTCCACTGGCATCACTTCCTTCCTTATTCTTGCTTCAGCCACTCTTGATTGTGCCTTTTTCTGACGTCTCAGCGCACCACAAGTTTCCTTTTTGAGCGGCGCCGAAAAGTTGCGAAACTGCACGCTCGCTGCGTTCCCACATGCCACCTGTTTACGGGAAATGTAAACCCAGGCGAGTGGGGCCGAGCGCATCGGCAGCGCTGAAAGGAGGATTTACGGCTCTATTTTTATCACCTCCACCCCGCTTCCGTCAGGTGGTTCTCACGTCTGTGACCTCTGCGATCAGAGATGCGCTCAAAGTTTGGGGCGATTTATTTGAGCAAACGTCCGTTCAGAGAAACCCCTGATTTACCGTGGATGCAGGAGCAAGCAGACCGTTTGTCACGGCCTGATCTTCCCGCTAATTAAATTTACTCTCCAAGTGTCTTCGACTCCAAGCTGAGATGATTGACTTATTTGCCTTTTGAGGGGGGCTTCTTTGCCCACACAAGAGAAGCCCCTCTGTGTTTCTGCAGGGCAGGCTGCTCCACGCCAACCGTGTTTGAGTTATGCCTCTCCATCCACACTCACGGTTACTTTACCTCCTTTTCTCTCTTTCCCCAGAGGCCACATCTGGTTTTTCTGTTATCTTTTTTTTCTTTCACCCCCCTTCTTGTTCTGGGTCTCCATTTATAAAAAAGTGTTAGAGTCAGCAGAGCCTGTGCTTTTATATATAAATAAATAAAAAAAAGGTGGAGGACAACTTGCCTCTCACAGAGGACCTTTATCATTTTACAGAGGAATAAAACGTCCCGTGTGCTCCGTTCTCCTAGTGTGACAGTGACTTTATGTTGAATCAGTGCAGCTTTTTATTGTAGGACTGTGAGCTGAGTCCAGCTGTAGTTAAGTTCACATCCTGATCTGGTTTTTGTTTCTGTTCATTAGGTTTGCTTTTCAAATTTCACATTCTTTTCTAAGAGACAGTTGTCAACACAAAGTT